ACACAGATGGATTGTGCAAGCCATAAAACGTGGTGACCCCAACGATAAGAAACACACAAATATTGTATCAACTTCTGCGTTTCCGTGCTTTGCATTCAAATGTGTAGACTGTCTGGAATCAGTAAAGCCAGGTAACCATGACAGCACAAGAACACAAAATGTGGACTCTTTGCAATCTGTATGTGCATACACGTTCCTACGTGAACACCTAGGCTTTCCAATAATGTCATTACATAGAGAAAACCAATTCGGAACTTATTCAGAAGAAAATATGTGCCTGTAACCACACAAAACTGGTGGATCTGTACTTGTCTATTCAGGTCTATTCTCTGCCGGGTTGGAAAAACCAAAAAAATGAGAAAGTATTACAGAAGTTTTTAATAAATGCCTTTGTGGGAGTCATATCAGGAACCAATTCCAATTAGATTTTTCTGTAAGTAAACTTGTAAATAAATGTTCATCCCCTTCTTAGTATCTTCAGAATAATGCGTGTATGCTAAACAGATAATTCTATAATTTCCCGCGTTTGATAAACGCGCATTGGGGACACGCAAAGCAAGCCATGACAAGTCTTATTTCGATTTGCCTGAGGCAGTGGTTTCGCCTGAATTCTGGTTCCCTATATGGAAGTTGTTCGTGGGTTGCAAAGATCTTTGCAATCGTGAATGTTTTCGTAATTTAATAGTAAACTCCACAGGTAACTGTGATTTCCGACTGGGCGGTTACAACTGCCATTAAAGAATTTCCATTCAGCAACATAGCCGTTTGATGTGGGATTTCCAACCACACCTTTGGTCGCCAAGTATACCTTATACTCCGTCCCACTAAATTAACTTTCCTTGTGGACTCGTTGAGCTATCTCACATGAAATGATCCTTGGTAATCGATTGATGGTGCAGTTTGTAGCTTTTGTATCCAAGCCCCGTCAAAGGTTCATCAAACTAATCTAGGCATCATGTTTAGGTACAAAAGGCCGTGGGGAAATACCATTTTACTGCTGGCTGAGATCATGCCTAAAGGACTGCGAACCACATACTAAGCTACTATAAAAACCACCCTTGACACAAGAAGTAAAATAAATGACTCACAAATTTGATTTGGTTTCTGTTCTACTTAAATATTTCAAACATATTTCGATACGTGTTGAACTGTATACACGCACCCTAAATGTACAGATATGATAACACGAAGGTGATTTGGAGAACCAGAAAAAACCGTTTCGTTAGGTTCGCCTTCAGTGATTTCGTAGAATATCAACTTTCTACCAGTCCTAAACTAAATATTACTTTCAACTGATGTACATTCTTCCAAAAACGTGTATGGAAACAAACATCCAAACATTATTATTTTCATTTGATCACCTTCATGATAGTTATTCCTCTAACACAGCACTTCTAAAGATCCAAGAGACCACAAAACCGGATCAACATATCTCGTTACGGAATTGCAAGCACCACTAAATTAATAGGAACGAATATCTGAAAAAGCTGCAGTACTGGGTGATTTAAATTGGTCATAAAACGATTTATCATGCATTATTAGTTCTCAACACACAACCATGTAAACACTGGAGACATTTTTCATATTTTGATGATCATGTTCACCGGGTTTTACTAAGAAAAATAACCCGGGATGAGAGATTGTAAACCATATGCTAGCGTTATATTAGTTCGGCCTGCTCTTGGCGGATTAACTCCAGGAAACATACCTATTAGAGTTTGTCTGTAGCCAATTCTTTATGGTAATCAATGTGTTAAACACGCAACTCCCAACTATCATGAACACCGCACTCTCTTTTGAGGGACTTAGAGAAAAGGAAACGTTATGAACGGTCTTCACGCCATAAAGCTTGTCTGACGAATGCTGCGTAAAAATTGGATTAACAGTCACAACCAACTTATCACCACATTTTAGTGAATGGTTTTAACGTTGTTTAGTTAGATCCCACTATTATATATATATATATATATATATATATATATATATATATATATATATATATATATATATATATATATATATATATACATCAACTTCTTCGTCACTTATAAGTTTACATATTTTACGTTGGCAGTTGACAAAATTAGAAGAAATCTTTACGTTTCACAAACTTTGTCTTCTGTGCACCATCGTATTTACTCATTGAGGTTGGCTCAAAGGTCCAAAATAAATGAGTGTATCACAGATCAGCTCCTCGTGATTAGTTAGTCAAACATAATCTATGTTCAATCATACAAGGGTAAACTAAACATCAACGGATTTCCTTAATCCGAAATTCCACACTTTGTCTCGTTAGAACTAAACCCCAAGCCCTCGTTTAACCGGCCAGTTTCACTATCAATGGAGCTCTGATGGTACAGCCGTCTAGTTTAAATGATGAATATACACAAACATATTCATTTTGGTGATCTTGCTCATCCACTCAGTTCGTCCTACTGAGGTATGACTGGCATGGCTAATCCGTTGAACAAAACCAGAACAGTTGATCTGTATCATGGGAATGGGTGTTGCAAATCGTCAGATATTCTCGTGCGTAATTTGCGTATGACTGGCCGTACTGAGATAGCTGAACTGATAGAGTAACTGACATGTTTACGGCAACATCACAGGTACAATTCGGGTTCACTTTACGTAACTTTTGGATGCGAAAAAAGTGAGTCGGATTTCCGTTATCTGTACGAGACGAATCGTGAAAAGTAGATATAAACTACCTAATTTCCTAACGGCGTCATAAGAGTATCATTATTCGGAAGAATATATCTCTGAACGAGTGGCTGTTAAAAACATGAGATCACCCTTAGCGAAAGATTTAAAGCGTTGATCTGCACGATCGGCATTACTTTGTTAAAACCACTTCATGGCTCAGCGAACAGTATGAGAACTGTGAAGTAAGCCCGCCTTAAAGCTTAAATTGTCCCATTCTGCGAAACTACTGTTTTTCCTCAATGATTCAGTTTGAAGCTGTTTACAGGAAACAGAAAAAACTGCACCGAGGATCATACTGGTGGGATGGTTAAAATCCGACCATTGATAGGAGTATGTCACAATCAAGTTGTCCTTGCAGTGTTATCGGTCTATCTAGCTGAAGCTAGGGTCGTTTATCCACTCACCTATTCTGATTTCCACAATGTGAATTCTGTTTTAAACAGGTCAAAGTGGTAATTTTATATGCCTGTATAAGAAATAACCCCACGCGTGGATGCCAACCACATTTTTACAGGATGCGCCCAACCAACTTAGCAATAGGGCCATACGAGGAAAGTCTTTTTGAACTGAATCGCCAGAAAATCCTGAGAGGTGGTCGAAATCTGAATAAGAGTTTATCAAGCTATACAAAAAGCAATCAAGTTCAACATCTGAACGATATTCTTTAAACGACGTACACAGTTCTGAGCTCAAAGAGGTAACAAAATCGAATAAAAGCTTACAGGGAAAATATTTGTTGGGCCTTTTTTCATTTCATTATCAAAAACACCATCATAGAAAACATGGCAACATCGTTGCTGAAATCGAAAGGAAAAAAACATTTGCTTTGAAACTATTTAATCTGGTTTTAGTGAATATCTCCAAGATTTACTGAGTTACTTCATCGACCGATTCGGTTCGGACACGCAATACATATTCGAAAATAAATGGGGAAATGGGCCTTCTACGCAAACAGAATAAAATGTGTTTTCGGGGTCAAATTTTGTAGATTTTCGCCATAAGGAGAGTAAAGTTGAAAGAAATTATTGCGGTGTTCGAATATATTTATTTTCCAGAAACAGTTGTTGGGAGATAAAAACTCAATAAGTTTGGAATAAGGTTCACTGGTGTACAGCACTGGCTTAAACAAAAAAGAAAAGAATTCAAAAAATGAAATCAGTGGTATTACCCGTAGTATGTGGAAGAAAAAACAACCGGTCTTTGTAGGCAGAAATACTACTAAAATGATCGATCGTAAAGTGTCACGCCCGAATTGGAACTCGAGGAAAAAGCGGAATGGAGAGCACCAACCATAACAAGGCAACAGTGTTCAAAGTTGGACTATACTTGGAATGCGATCAAAAATCAATTCAGGGAGAAAAGAGTGGAGTGTTTCATTGAGCCACATGAGATTATCTGAGAAAATTTGGACTAACCACCATCAGGATGAAGAAAATAAAGGACCAAGAATTATGGCAGAGAGATCGAAGCTAACTGAGCTGTACGCTCAGACGAGAGTCTCAGTGAAACCAGGCACGCTTGCTTAAACAAGAGGCACAGAGTTCGTTCTGAGCACTACACGTGAACCGATTCTCGGTTTTCCAGAAAGCGACTCTATATCTTTATCATTTCATCCAAACGCCCGTAACTGATATTATAATGGTCTAATCTGTCTTTATGTGAGTGATGTTTTGTTGATAGATTATTGACTATTCGTTCAATAATTTATTCATCGTCACACTTGGTGACGCAAGATATATCGTTCTATGGTTCTACCGAAATAAATCTACTTGTTGTTTGAGAGAAATGAAAGAGGCAGAAAGTTCTGTAATTCTTGTCCCATTCACAGAAATGCAGGGTGTATTTCAGTCTGTTTTACCACTTTGAGATGTTTTGTTTCTTGTAGTTTCAGTGTTGACAAACAAGTGACAGCGAGGTTGCTTTTACTTTTCCAATCAACACAAACCCAATATCGTAAAAGTTATTCAAACCGGGTTTAATTTACATGAAGTAGTATTTTGGAAATCTCATCGAATAAACCCACTTGCATGGTCGTTCTTCACGGTCGTTTACTCTGGTAATCCGTATTTCATTATGACAAATGGAAAAAATAATACATCACGGTTAGAAGTTGCATAAATCAAATTCGTTCAACTGAATAACTCAATCTGCTTTCAGTCACAGGTCAATAGTAACAGAATTACAATTTTGTCACTTTTTTGTCAATATGATATTACAAACGCGAAATATTTTCCAGTGTAACCGTATTGGAACTGGATGCGACCATCCGGTTTGCGTGCCATATGGGGCTGGCTTTAAACAGGACAAAATGCAGGCCCATTTGCCGGTTCCGCATTCCATCCACGACTGAAAAAAAACATAATTCGGAAATTTAAACCTTTGAGGCATGCATCCAATCTGAATTCAAGTTTAACTCGCCTGGGTTTGCTTGTAGTTAGACTAAACTGAATTAGGAATAGGGACATAAAAATCGGTTCATTAAGCAAATATCTAATTCAGACAGCAAAATGGTCACATTTTAATGCAGTCTTTCAGTCAGTAATTCTGCGATTTACTTTTCTAAATGCTTATTGCCGACGTCGAAATTTATCTCACCCACCTATGACCTAGGTAGCCCTATTTGAAGCGCTTTGTGTTGAACTCCATGAGCCATTGCAATTTCACGGTCATTGAATAAGGTTCGACTTCTAAATTTCTGATAAATTTAGAGTAGACTGGATGTTCAGCCGACAATACTGTGGCAATTATAAACTGTGACTGGTGAGTTCGTTTTGGTTTAATTCCCTTCAGATTCAAAGCATTTATCAGCAATAATATCTCAGTGTACGTTGAAACTCATCAAAATAAAGGTGAGGTCACTGGTCATGTCGAAAAACCTTCCCATTCTGAAAAGACTATCAGGATTTGAACAATATGAAGGCATTTCATATTCCCGACGAATAACTGAATCTCTGTGAAAATATATACATACAACAATATATCTTATAGCCTGTGTTCAAAGAGTTTATAGACACGCTTTTGAGGTCGGAATTAGCAGCTTACTTCTTAAAAGCTTCCTAGTAGGCAAGTAAATAGCGTAACCAGCTTAACCATATCAAAGACGTGCGCATGCAGATAATGTGACCGCTACCTCCGGTAAGTCATATTTTAGCGTATGTGAAGTATGACATACATTTGAGAGACGAACTAAATCACCAGAAAGTTTCGAATAAATGATTAACTGTAACAGCAAATGTGCTCGGGCTAGCGCCTAGTAAGAAGACAGTCACAAGTGAAGTTGATTTTCCCTAAAGGTCACGGACAGCAGAGGAAAAAATCATGAGATCACAAAGAAGTGCATTGGTCCGTACTGTTTGGAATTATGGCTTTTCCTACTGAGGTAAAGCAACTACGGTACTTCCAACACGCACAAATATGAACCGTTTATTTCGGAGCTTTGGAGTTTGATGGATGTGTGTTGGCGTCTTCCTCGATGTTTTGGAAGCATAACTTATTTGCAAAATAAGTGATGTGAATAAATCCCAATAACACCGCGAACGATGGTCTGTTCACAGCACAGACATTTCTTTCTAGGAATATTTCGTTTGCGTCATTCTTTCGAAATGTGCCCGACATTTACACTTCAAGCTGGTGAAGGTAGATTCGGGATATCACCATAAGTTTATAAGCTACGTTTGTGACTTCAAAGCAACCCAACATATTCCGTTCTTTTTTCCGAAAAATCTACTTAGATTTAGTAGATTTTGAAACTCTCTGCACATTTTCACATCTCTGAAGGAAACGTTATGAGAAATTTTACATGTTTTGACACACAAACGGCACTCAATAGCACTTTTAAAACGCCAGTTAACGCCCTAGACCCTCAAAGAATTAGTGACTTCAGATTTTTTCAGGGGGTACAAAAAACCATTAGTCAGCCAACTTACTTTACCATCTGACATCTGATTTCATCTAATCGCCGACTGAACTCCGGAATACTGACATCCCCTTTGGACCATAGTCGTTCAGCGGCCGGGATGCCTCGTGGCCTGTGGAAATAGATCGGGAGAGTTTGAGGCAAGTCAGATGCAATTCGAGTCACTTAGTTACAATGAATCTGGGTCTTTAGTTTTATACTATATAAACCAACAACAACATTCCTGGGATGAGTTTCACACTGTCAAAAGTTCTTTCGACTTCCTTCTGAAACTACTTGATAAGTTTTCAGTCATTTTCGTCAGACATCGGTAACTGTTCTTTGCACATGATTTACGGAGGTTTCAACACCACTCCCAAATTAGTTTGACTAAATTCAAGCGGAACTACACGTTAAAAAACAACAACAAGCTACAACAATCTTGAAGGGAGCTGCAATTAAAGAAAGGTTAGCAAATAAGAAATAGGCTGGCGGTTTCATGAATCAAACTCTGGTCTTTATTGTCCAATGTCTACGATGATAACCTGACCACCGATTTCATAAAAGGTTACCGTATCATGAATTCGCGGCGCGCGACAAGTCACCATGGCAGGTTCGTTGCAGCTGTGATAATAGTGACACTGAATATGAATATGAATATGAAAAAGTCATCTAGACTCATTCGGAGTTTCCAGACTATTTCATCGAAAACAAACAGCTTCTAACCACCCATTGCGGAATTTTGTTGTTCACATCAAGTAAAAAGATTGAAATACAGATACAGTTATACCAGTTATACTCTAACTATACCTTACTGAGGATTCTTTTAGCTTGAGTTTCATGTGAATTTGCGGACTCCACATTTGTAAAGCAGAATTGATGGCATACAACGTTTAAAGAAATGGTTTATTTATCTGCTACTCATGTTACAGTGATTACCACTGCATTATGGGAAACAGCCTCTGTGGTGTCAATTACATCAATCAAAGAAAAGATGCACACTGAAAGTACACTTGACTATTTTCAAAGATGCACCGACAACGAGGCCAGCCTACCGCGAACGAACATTGTAAATATAATTTTTCTTCGAATACCGGTTACAGAGATGTGATCATTTTGATCGGATTAACCGTACAAGACGAAAGTTAAGCATGAAAGGAAGATGCAGTCCCGCAGTCAAACGATGGAAGGGAGTAGGAATGCGGTTGTACCGAGGAAACCAAAATGAGTAGGACATAGTTGCGAAGGCGGACTTTTAAACGACCACAACTGTTTACTCCGATGTATATTATTGGACTAATATATTGGGACAATTTGCAAACCTTGCAGTCTGGGATTCTCAGAAGCATCTGAAATCTAATCTCGGAGCCGTGTCATCAAAACCCTTTTCGAACGTTTGCAGTTTGTGTGTGAATCAACACGTGGTTGGAACAAGAACGAAGTACGCATTTGGATCAAATTTCCGCTTGAGGTGGGATAACCTCAACCAAAATATTCCTTCGAATATTCTTCGTACTTTTACTTAATATGTTCTCACTTTGGCGATGGGCAAAGACCCATTCAGTTTCTGTCTCAGTTATCCAACTGACAGTATGGCAGCTCGTGATTTCAGTCGCAATATAGCCACTGGTACAACGAGGTAGTTATTGACCTCTCTATAATGAAACAGCAACTAGCAGACTTCTATCGAGGCAATTAGCGCAGGTATGTCACAAATTCGTATTCTTGCTCAGAAGCAGCCTAACACGGATGCACGCCGTAGGAGTCAGCAGAAAACGCAACGAGTTTGATTCAACTTGAAATTAGTGAAGCTCCCATCTCCAAGAATCCTGTCTTTTCCGTGTACAATGCTGTTGGGGTGGGCCCACTGAATATTTAGTTCCGTCCTTAAAGGCTTTGTCAGGTTTTTTATAGTATACATTTAGACTAATAGCAGCATAATGATAAATCCAATGGGAGTGTATACCCCAACCTTACAATTTAGGGTCCTTATTCTATTAGCCAGACGATTAGAGAAATAAAACAATGGTTTTTAGGCACCAATTTTTGCCAAGTGTTTTTATGCTGGCTCGTTTTGTCTACTCCAGTCGCATGAACTCCGAGGGATGTCGTGTGATCCGATTCATTAAAAAAAGATGAAAATAAATTCATATCCGATTTTGGTCAAGTAAAATTCCTTACTGACCACAAGTTGTACGAACCTATAGAGGTTGTTTCGTCAGTGGGCATGATCTTGATTTTGATAATAATACAGTTAGATATTTTTCAGCGAAATCATCCCAACTGTCATTTTATTGTGTATATCGCCCACACGTATTCTAAAGACCAAGGAAAAGCTGCAAAGTCCTCAGTAACCTCTTCGACTGTAAGAATACGGCAAGAGATGAAACAGTGTGAATGTTTGTCATCGTCCAGCGAGTTCGTGTTCACATCTAAATTGAGGCTCCCTAACGGTCTAATGTTACAGTCAAACTACACTAATTCGATATGCGGTTCAGATAACTGATGATGAAAACCACTTTTCGTAAAGCACTATCAAATCATTTTGATCAACTGTTTCTTGACACCCTTTTACGTATTAACTTAAGAAGCCTACTTGAACACGATCTGACCGTGCGTCTGATATTGTCTCTATATCATTTGACTACTTGCGTTCAATTGAACGTTTTCTTCCGGGCGACAACTTTTCTTGTCCAATTTCCATTCTCTCTATCTTCAGCTGAAATACTCCCATCTCTAAGTTCGAGAGTATGAACTGACTATTTAACGATGTCCCAATTTCAAACCTCCAAACTCCCACCCTATTCGCTGTTCTAACCATATCAGGAAGCGGGGCATGGGAAAAAAACCGTTAACCAAGTACGTTTTCTGTGACGAGCGAAATTTGTCGAGATGGCGTATCAGTTGTCTAAAATAGCATGTGGAGGGAGTTTAACGGTTTGGGTGCGATAGCTTCTTTTTTGCTGTTCCTGGTTACTGGCATCCACATTTGTCCAAGCGTATCCGAAATGAGGAACAAAAGTGAGCACTGATAACCCAAACCTTTTCATGATATAAATGTGTCTAGCGTCCGGGTACGGAAGATTCAACAGTACAGATCTACCAAAATGTTGCCACATGAATATTTATCCCAGCAAGCTCGGATAACCCTTTTTTGGTTGATGAATTTTTTCGAATGATTACTAATAAATACTAATGCAAATGGTTTCATAATCCGTCTTCCTGATTCTTCACTGCAAAACAGAATGCATTGTGTGCAACAATAACATGCTGGTGGGGTATCCAGTTTGAACAGTGTTTCACAAATGGTATTACTTACCAAGCTCTACTAAACAGATTGGTGTCATCCACGAATTCACCCCAGAGTGCGGCCTCTCCACCGAGCACTCGTGCCTGTTCTTCTGAAGTACCTGGTGTGTTATGCGAACAATGGGAACATTTTGTCAGACCGGAACGAGCCTAAGCAAATCAGTGTGGCGAGCTGTTCTTCCAATTAGTATATTCATATCCTCACCATCTATCACAAGCCGTTTGCAAGAAACATAACACTGTGTAATAGCAGCTATATTGTTTAGTACGGATACATAAATATCACATGAAAATCAAAAATATACGAACGATTAGTTCAAATGAAAAGGGTAAATTATGTCAGAGGTTTTTCTGATCCAGTTTCGGCCGATAATTTTTGCATCCACTTGTCAAAAAGTAACCTGAGTTTAGTAAATTCCAATGTATTTTTACCTGTCGTCGCCCAGCTAGAAAACCAAAACAGACTCTTAGGCATACAAAAACATGTTTTACTACTTGATCAAAGGAATATTCGTGTGATGCTACTAACTTACTGATGTACCATACTACTGACGAGATCTTAACTAACACGTCGCACATCTCACAAACAACAAGAATCGGCAACAGGCTTGAACCCAACGGAATATGTAGGCGCCATTCTGATCAAACTTTACACCAAAATCATTGCGAATATTCCTGAAATTAACTTAAAACAGTTTCTGTTAAGACTGGCAAAAACCGTGGCACTGTGTGAGGCAGATTTGGTTGCTATCGCTCAGGGGCAATTCAAATAAAAAATCTGAAGAGCAATAACATCAGAAATTTTGGAGGAAACTAAACGTAGCAGTATCAAGTTGATACAGGAAAGTTGTGAATACAACAGCATCACTTGCAGTGAAAGCTCACCACATTTTTAAACTTACTAGGCCACGGAGTAGACGGATGTATTGGACCCCACCGAGGAAACCGAACATTCCCTACAGAACCAAGTCCACGGGTCATTCATTTCATCTCTTTCTTTCATTCCATGAAATGACCACTGGTACTCCTTTCCCAACTCCCATTTGACTGAGTGAATGTTGCGCGCCAAGCAATCCAATCTGAGTACATGTCCAACACAAGTCCTAAACACTTTAAACGGACTGGCTTCAGGTTTCCTTTCTGTGGCTAATGCTCAACCTAGTTTCTTCATTGCTAATAAAGTGTTCCCCCCAGACTCGAGAACGTTTGCGAGAAGGTCAGTGTTGAAATGTTTCTGGATCCTACAGAAGAACTGGTTTAACTGCTGCGGGGTGCACTCGACTCTAAACAGATGAACGGGTGTCACATTAACACTACAGACAACTGAGGTCGGAAATAGAAAAAACGCAGCTTTTGTGTGGGTGATGGCACTACTTGCAACATCCGAAATAAGGGTGCATTAGAGCTTCCTAGATAACATAGCTTATCCACCTTATTTGTTTTCTTCCTAGCCACCACAAACGTACCTGCTGAAACTACCCCATCATGCCACAGTATCTTACTCTTGGATGGTTCATAAAAGCGTACCAAATATTGCTATACAGTTATCCATATGTTCATTACAGCTTGCGACCTACATGGATCTCCATTCAGAAGAACAATTTCGTTCATAATCTCTGGCTTTCACACTTTCCACTCCGGAAAATTTTAAAGATCGTTACCCCCACACGTCAGAAAGCGGCCTTTAGAAACGTATGTAATTAAACGTTACATTGGAAGAATCAAAGGGAAACCCTGGCGAACGTCAGGTCTTGCAACAGACTTGGGTAAAAGGTCGTTGTACCTATAACTGTAACTCTGTTCTAAGCATGAACTTACGGAGAATAAATCACGAGAATGAGTTTTCCCAGCTCACATTTTGATGTGAGACGGCAATACAAAAATGTAGGGTCGATTGAATCCAATGTCACTAGTAAATCATGAAAATCAAAGAAATCTCTGGCCTTGAAAAGACGCGTGTTCGCTCTAAAATTTATCAAAAGTTGTTGAATGTTGTCAAAACAATCTTGGCCAGGTCTGAACCGAGTTTGATTGGGCAGGAACAGTGTAGGCTGACTTTGCGGTGCAGATTATTACTAAGGAGCAGTTTAGGTACATCTGAACAGTCATCTTTCTCATAAATTGTCAGGCGAATTCTCGAGAACGTAATATACCATCCTTGTCAAAAAGGGATTTTTTTCACCACCGGTATCTAAATCGTCCAGTCTATGAAAATGAATGCTGAGAGGGATCTAGTTCGGCAAATCTCAGTGAGCACTCATGCTCAGAGAGACGTAGACACCATCCTGATTACTAAAACAAGGCATAAAAAGGTCCGACTAGCAAAGAAAGAATCAAAAAGCCCAGTTTGTGCCATGGGAGCGCAGGTCTATAACCAGAGGAGGGTATGGTATGCGATTTTCGGAGAAACACTATGCATTTTAAAAATTACAATGGTCTCAGCAGCACGCGGCCTAGTATAGTAGATGGGCTTCGGAGAATGTCCATCAAACTGAACATTTTGGGTTCGCGAAGTCTATTTACGTCCGGCTTTGTAACTACTTTAATCTTCATGCAGAACTGGAGGTTCACAATAACTGTTATCTTCTTGGGTTGATCTGAAACTACATGAGATGAAATCAGTAAGACTCTTTAAGTGAAGAATGCTGGAGTTTTCCTGTCGAATAGAACTTTGCCCAGCGGAACTAAGAGGTTTTCTCTGGGAAAACTAATCCAGCAGAGGAAAGTTACCGAAGGCCTGTAAAAGAGCCCCTGATCTGGCAGTTGGGACCCGAGTGCTGTTTTTCTTACTTCTTTCGCTAGCTCTCTTTGCTGGTTTTTCGATCATCGATCCGCTTACCTGATTCAGTCATTAGCCCCATGAACCCAACCTAGAATCACAACTCTAATGGGATAGTGTTATTTATGGTGGGAGCTCCCAACCTTTCGTAGGCGATAGCTGTATGACGAAATGCAATGACCCCTCTCGGTACCGAGGTAAACCCTACTAACTCCATTTCCACTCACATAATGCAGATACACTTCAACAGTGAAAAGCTTCTATTAGTACAATTTACCAGAGTGTACTCCCGAGGGGCAAAGCGGTTATCCGTTCCCAACCAAGTGAATCAATAGGTTCAGAGTAGCCGGACAGCATCTGACCTCTATTTATTAAATCATCAGACAAGATTTACAAAATGCCTATATAAATCCTTGGCAGAGCTTCTGCAACCTAATAAGGACACATTTCACTACATCTCGTGTGTCTTTGAGAGATACTCTGGGGTTATGCCACTGCATTTGATATGATGGTTATTGTAATAGAATACACATTCATTTAAATGAACGTACCGTTAAAATCACCAGGATCACAAGTATAATACGGGTGCCAGTCAATGCCATAAGATATAATATCCAAATACCAACAACTTGAAAGTAGTACACGATAACCAGCTCGAGTGATTTCTTTCACTTTTGGTTTCCAATTTCCCGGTAACCAAACTTGGAAAACAGTCTGTTTTTCACCCTAAAATTTGATATTTATAGGAGTATCATGAGTGACATGAATAGTTGCAACGGAAAGGCAACAAGATTTGATCAGACCCTAGATTTTTGTCTTTTCCGCAGTCCAAAAGCATCGACAATCACTTGTTATTTTTTGATTTATGACTGTGAGAGTAAAAACACCATACAGATGAAAACAACGATCTACGGAACTGTCTACGGAAAATAACGGTCCGGGCAATAGCATCAGGAGTGAAAAAAGCCCACAATCTCGACAAATTTGCTGTACCGGCTACTAAAATGACCGCACAGCTGCCTATGGAAAACCAATACACGTTTTTGTTCTCGGGCTACACAATCTGCGTGATAATAGTAGAGTATCAAGAGAGCATTACATATGAAATAACGGGATACGGTAACAAACCAGCTGATCTTTGTTTGGAAAATCTTATCTAGTACAATAAGGCATCAATTACGGTACTGGAGTCAACCAGGTAACTAAGTGAAGGCATTCTGGATTACCAGAAAACCAAAACACCGAAGTTCACTGACAGCTGTCTATGCGGCAGGGACTGGTAGGTTCAACCCCAGAAAAGGTGTTCAAAATGAATGTCTCACGCAAATACTCTGTTCTTGGTATTGATAATCACATCAATCTCATTCTCCTCTCTGCCATACCCCTCCTCCGCCTTTCGAATCACCAAATGCTGGTCCTAACTCTGGGATGGGCATGGTGAACACTTTCTTTCGGTTACCTAATAAAGTTTTACCCAGAAACACATTGCCGTTTAGAGTTTCCGTTTCTATTGCAGTCCATTTCTTGAATTCTTTCAAGACACGATACTAAACAATTTGAACCCTGCTGATGTATGATGGTAGTACCCAATCGGAATATATGGATAACGTTAACCAAACCGTGTTACTGTAAAGGTTCTTTTCACTTTCATACCACTGAAGCTATTGCTGCAAGTTTACCTGTCATTTGATAGCCATTAACGATCATTTGGTAGCCACTGACAGTCATTTAGTGGCCATGGGTTACGGTAAACTTACCAAACGTTTGCCGGCGGACCCACAAGGCGGATAGAGACACTTACGTGGATGGCATGAGGCTACACAGCCCCGAAACACACAATGTGGTCTTCTATGATATGAATGTGCCGGAAATGTTTGTTAGGTGCAACACATGCCGTGTTTGTTAAATAAGCACCAGTTATTACAAACCGAACCCCTAGGGCTACCGTAAAGAAGTAAAATTTGGTAAAACAACACTGAATATATACGTGACCCACCATGGCATACGAAGCATCTTCACTGAGATAAGTATTGTGCTTTGATCATAATGATGATAATCATCCAGTTTAAGCGTTCGAAATTAATTGAATCAGGACTATCACCCGATTCGATAACACACCTGGTTAATTAGAGCTCAGTTTAGCTGTCCGTTCTAGAGCACAAAGCATTGTTCCTCTAGCACTGTACACGACTGTGGTTATCGGATTTGTTCTATCAAGGATTAAATCAAATGTAGGGTGTTGTAGAAGCGCCCAATCCTATATTCGTCAGAGGACACGTCACTTACTCGAAAACCTCGATCAAACACCTCTTGCCAAGCCACAGGAGTGAACGGATGATGAACAAACTCGGACATTTTCAACATGTCGATGATTTGTTCAAAGTAGTAGGTCTGTAGTACTGAGTAGTTCTCACCAAATTTGTGCTCTTCCATGAATCGTTTCACTTCCAGATTTGAGGCCCTGTCATATGTGAATTATAAAACTTATTCTTAGCAATAATATGGCAAACAGAATGTTTCATAAGAAAATTACGTCGAAAATCATATTCAACTGCATTTAAATGTCGACTGTGAACATTCGCTGACGAAACAACGTAACTGTCCCACTTCTCATGACTGATGTACTTTATACTTAAGATTTGACGACAAAGTAGCTCACTCAATCGTCTTGCACGGCTTTTAGTGGTTTGTCAATTCTCGCACAGTCAGCGATAATCGCAGATCGTTCTATTTACTCACCCATATTACCCATTTAGTTCCAAAGCAAAAAAGAAAATGACTGATTGAATCGGCTCCTTGGCAAGTCAAACTTCATGTAAATTGATACAAAATTCTTTCCAGCAGAACATGGGTAATTACTGAATGCACATTTTGATCGGCGACGAAATATTTCATTTACCAGGACAACCAGGAGGCCAAGGCTTTTTGTGTATGCTTCAGTGAAGACTGTTTGGGACTGCATTAAATGCTTCCAATTCAGTGGACTTTTTGGAGATTCTTGTTTGACTGAAGTTCTCATAGCAGAAATAAGCTAAAAAGCGACAGTTAATCAGCTGCTTTCAAGGTTACGTAAAAGCTTTTCCAAGAGATCAGCTTATGAACTGGTATCACTTTACAAGAGAGCAGTGACACTCCACTATATTATGTTAACTCGGGGTAAAGCACAATTCTTTGGTTTCCTTCCAGCCAAACAGAGACATTTTCAGTGAAGTTTCCGTGGCTTAAAGTTAGAGTTACTATTATATCATATATCCAGTTTAACTAAGCTCTTTACAATATCTATTTACTGAATTTCGTTAACGGAAACAGCAAGCTGTACATCAGAAACTACCTCAACGAACAAGTAGATCTTGAAAAGGAAGGATTTAAACCCGGACCCTGTAATCCATACCTTACTAAAAAACCTGAAAGACAATTAAGGGCTGCCTAATTAAAATACTGTTTTTCTAAATTACTGCAACATTAGTGTATACGAGTAGTACGCTATTCGATTTTGCGCAATACAATTCATCGTACAGTATAAATTTTAAGCTCATCATTGATAACCGTAGCGGCAGTGTACAATCTTTTCGCAGTTGTCAGGAATCATTGATAGTGCACAACAACTTAACTTTCCCCGGGACTCGAACCCAGTTTGGACGATTCTTGGTTGATTAACTTACCACCATTTTGTTGGGCTGGCTGTCTAAGGTTTGCCTAACATACAAGGTATTTGACAAAGTACCGTTCAGTCAATGGCTTTTGACGCGGGCAGAGCACTTCCCGCACAGCAATCGACTCCTTTTGGGGGACTACTTCTTTGTATGGGCCTAAGTAGACCAAAGGCTTTCGACATTCTTCCACTGATTATTTGAGCTCTGTAAATTTTCTGAAAAAATGCAAGTTTAATGAGGTGCACTCTTTCAAAATTGCTCTTCTCTTTACGTAACCATCTCAGTAGTATAGTTGAAACAACAAACTCGGGGTCCCACTATGACTTACCAACAGTGATGATCGACCTCATCTCCTCCCAAATGAAGTAAATTATCCGGGAACAGATTGCGCAACTCAAGAAAGAGTTTTAGTAGAAATGCGTAAGTATATTCCGTGGTCGGATTGATCGGTCCCAGGTTTCCGTTTGTCTGATTGTCCGAGTAGCAGGTAGTCAGAAGTTCCGGATATCCATTTCCCCACGATTGACTGTGGCCTTTGTTTTGTGTAGTACCAGGAAAGTTTGATCTTCAGTGTGTGTATGTGTGCGCGCGCGCGTGCGAGCGTGAGTGCACGTATTTAAATGTATTTTAGGGTGTGAGCATGATAACATGGAATCATATAATATAAACTTGTGATTGGAGTTCCTATGAAAAATACGTGCCTGCACTGTAGATTCTATTGTACTTTTGCACGTACTGTCGGACGAGCTTAGAAGATATTTGAGTTCCAAAGTGGATCAGATGTCTGAGTCCTGTTTGTTTTCCTCAACAGTTGCTCTCCTTTCTCCGATACTTTTAAGTTATCAATCAAACAAGCTCCTTAGACTCATAAATAGCAGATGAATGGTTCACATCAAAATGGTTTATTCGAATTTTCCATCTAATCACCGATGCACGTGAACAAGAAACGGCTCCCCGACGTTGTTTTACCTGTACCACATGTAATTTTGGTAGGTAAGCCCATTGTGAACTAGAGTTTTTATGTGATATCTCGTCTTCGTGTACCAGCTCCATCATTGACCCAGGTTGTATTGTGATACCTTCTAAGGCACAGTTCAGACAGAAGTAGACATCTCAGGAATTTTGGGTATGAGGGTGATTCGTTCCTGAAGATGATGGCTCCTGTATACAACTGATAGACCTGAGCTTGGTGTCTGTAGGTTGTCCACGTATCATCATTAGTCGAGGTGACATCACCAGTGCACAACTAATGGCGTGCTCTCGCAACTGTCGATTCCACGGTGGTGACCTAAAAACACAAGGCTCAGCCATCATGATTTGATAAAAATATCCATTAGTTTAGATTATCTATCAGATCGCACCTCATCCCATCCCTGAAAACAGGGTGACCCGGAATGCCGAGCTTGTCCTCAGCAGGATGTGGTGTAAACGGTAGCTTTGTCCCGAAATCGGAATAGGACTAACTGATCAGTAAATTGACAGCAGCAACGGTTTTTGTCCCCCCTCTCCGTCAGAAACATGGTTGTGTTTGTGGGCGTCTGACGGTTGGCTGTGCACGATATGCATATGTTTTCAAATAGGTGAGACGACTAGCACGTACATGGCGGTCGCACGGTTTTCAAGTTTCGTGTAGATGTGTTACCAGTAGACTGGAGGTGGTGTGATTGATCTGATACTGTCATTGAGATCGATGCAATTACAGGAACAACGATGAACCTTTCAACACTCCTTTCAATATCGAATTTATGGCTTGGCAGGTGCACGAATTCTGTGATCATATGGGCCATTCGGGTCGGAATTTACCACTAGACTCAACCAGCTGGATGGATAACCACTAACACAGTAAACACCACGATAACGGATCATCTCGTAGTCACCACTGATCATGCGTGTAATTTGGCTAAAAGCACATTAGTAAAAACGGACTCTATTCAACCTGTGCCATTTCCGTGGATTTAGGCTATTTATTCAAGTATTTCCAGAGTATTGGAGAGGGTCTTAAACAGGGTGAAAAGCTATCGAGTTACACCAGTTCATCCCCATAAACATTACCAGTACAAGATCCTGTTACAAGCATACATTAGCTTCTAATTTCAACTAACTGATTCCAGTGAAACCCATGCATTTTCAAAGTCAATAACGCCCCTTTGTCACCAGTAACATGGAGTGCGTCATTCAGTGGTGTTTGATTTAGCTGCATAGGTAGTGAACCTCAGATATTTAAATTACCCGCCTTAATCCTTGTACCTTATTTTCCTTCTACCTTTCAGAAGTGAACACACTGAATGAACCAAGAGGCGTGGACGACTGTCAAGACCAAACCCTCCATGATCAGGAATAAAACATCCACATTATTAAAATGAACCCTGGTCTCTCTCTCTCTCTTCCGCCTGCCTTTGGACCCCTCGCGCTGTACATTTTGCTCTCTGGCTTGTGGAACAGATAAACTCATCAATATACGTTATCTGTCAACCGTGCTTCTACTGTGTGTTCCTTGCTGCGCAGATTCACTTGTACTGTTTGAGTGGTGCTGCCTGTTGACAAGCGGATATCTAAATTACTGAGTGACTCACCGACATTGCTACCCATTTCAGACGGCTAACGCCCTGGACTGTCGAGCCACTTTGTTCCTCACTTTGTCTGACGTGTTGGTAACGTGAGTGTCATTTTTGTGTTCCTTACGCACCTGGATACCACACATAGAGTGGCACACCTGCCCGAAAGATCAACTTGCAATCGAACGTTATCAATAATCAATACAACAAACGTCCAAGTGCGTACCCATCTCAATCGCATTCACTTGCCCCTAATATTATTCGTACTTTTAACCTGGCATTTATATTTCTGGTAATTTATATTTAGCTCACGCAGGTATTTGGGTATACTAATGCTGTACAGTGATATCTCATACACTTGAGTTTTAGGATTCGCAAAGCCAATTAGCCAATTCGCAGAGGCGACTTTTTCACAGATACGCAACTTACGCGGTCTCCTCGAAAGACCTTACAGAACAGTTTATGTTTCACATTTATAACGCATACAAGAAACACTTGCCAATCCTCCTGATCCAAGTAGGGTTCTGAAAACCAACCGCGAAAATTTGCGCTATTGCTGTTGCGATCACGTGACGGGTTATGATACTAGTTAACTCATTTATAATTTTCAAACTACTATCTAGATAATCATCACCTCCATTCAGCAGCAGCTTAGCAACGTAGCAACTGGTCAAAATGATTATTTCTTGCAAAATGCCGTTATTAATAGTAAGGCCTAAATGTACATACATATATATACATGTCAGCTCCAAAATACATCAGTCAGCCAAGGTTCTTGACTGGTCTGTTGGATTAACCTTATCGTATAACGGGAATTCGGTATCCTGCCTGTCCGTTCGAACACCTAGCTCCAGCCGGTAAAATTCGAGGTTTGTCTGGTTTCCAATGCGGAGGAGATTTGGATGAGTTTAAAATACTGCTCCAAATTTTGGAAGAGGAAACGGTTATCAAGAGTTCACTTATCAAGAGCTACCGACGCGAAATACCAAACTCTGAGAACCTCGTACTGCTTAAAGCATTAGTATAGTTGCTGGGTGCCGCAGTCAACCACGGTAAGACATGATCGTTCTGATATAAAACAGTATTATTCTAAACCCACTCAAGGAAAAGTCGCTTAATGTAGATTATATTTAATTTAAAAAAGACCGCAGTCATCCGTGAGCATAATTGTCTCATATGGACTACAAATAACTGTGCGTACCTAATTACAAATCATCTGCTGCTGGCATATAATAAATCCCTTAGTACTACAGAGATCCGCAAGTTGAGAGTCTATGACCTTAGTGAGACACAAGTCTATCTTTATTAAACAGCGCACCCGTTCAATTATATTATGAGGTAACACAGAGGTCTTTAGGAAATCCCACAAATGCCTCACATTGTTTGTGCCTTCACATAAAAGTGGGGCCCGACACCTACCAACATGTAAGTGCTTACTTCTGCATACAAACCCGGAATCTACGGATATGGCAGATTAGGGCGACGGAGTTATCCTCATCGTTTCATATAACTCCACTGAACAAACATTACGTATTTTTGCTTACCTGGTGTATCAAACTCGGGCATCACACGAATACCTCGTTGCCGTGCATAATGCAATACCTCTCGTATCATGGCATGCGAATAGACATTTATATTCGAATCGTAGGCACCCTGATAGAAGTGTATTAGTAGGAAAAATGCAAACGTTGCATACACAGCGAGACAAATTCGACCACGTGATGGATTGAAAAGGAAATGACTCATCATCAACGATATGCCAATGAAGTACGTTCATTTTTACCATTGCCATGGCGTCCTATAAATAGGAAAGGGGTCATTTTAATGTGAACAGAACTGTTTCTTTTGAGTCTTAGACGTGTCTACCTACCAAGAAGTTCCGTATACTCTCCAAAGATAAATAGTGTCGTGCCGTATCGATTAGGAATCCACGGTGGGTAAATCTTGGGGCATCGTAAATAGTTTGCACTTCGATTATTAGCTGGAAATAACTTCGTGAAAATCGACCTGACTTCACCTTACTTGGTTGTCCTCCGTTCGACGCACTAGCTGCGCAACTGTTTCCAATGCATGCAGTGCACCCCAAACTTGGAAAGCTTGAATATCAATCCTTTTTTGTGAGACTATCAGAGTGTCTGCAAAAGTGGCATTAATCTCACTCTCTGGTTATAATCATTCAGCACTTACATTGCTCGTGCATTGCTTCTGTAGGCCATTGTACCTCCGCGGTTTCGTTGCACATTGTCAGTAACGCAATCGATACAGTTTGGATGGCAGCCTTCGAGCAAACTGTAAGCTGCCGGCGAATTGGAAGTTGCCTCAGTCGTAATCGATCCGTGAGACGATGCTGAGCATCCAAAAGTACGAAACATTCTTGATAAGGATGTTGAAATTTCAATGCACTAACTAACGAGTGCCATTCGTCATTGCGAATATGCTGATTTGGTCTGGGTACCAGGCCGAACGTCACACTACATACACATGTGATGGACAAAATAAAGCGTGAGACTATCATATGGGCAGTAAGATCTAATACATGTATACACACGAACTAGAACAACCGAATGTCACTAGTTCGAAAATTAGTATGGTTTATATTTTACTGTGAATGACCTCAACTAAATTTGATCCAAGCTGTAGGCTTGTGGGCGATGAATCGTTGTCCGTGGAAGTGTGTGCGTGTTTGTTGATAACTGCGTGTCTGTTTGTTAGTGAAAGCTGTGTTACCGGTGCTACGAATGTCTGTCTACATCACAGTCGGAACTGTGCGGTAGCGTAGATGAGTGCTTCACTCTGTTTCTCTATCTATGTCAAAGCTCGCGTGTGTGCTTTGGGTGTTGATTTTTTGTTTACGATCTATGCATGGATTTGACCCACGACAATGTATCTGCCTCTCTCGTTTGCGTTCCTTTCATCATTGTTCCTAATGAAGAGAGCCAAGGACGTCCTTTAATAATACTTAACTGTTAAACTTGTATTTAATATGTTCCACAAAATGGAAAACGAACCTATACTAGTGCACTTGTGTGAAGACGGTTAGTCGAGGTCAGCTTCCAAAAGAGATGGTGGACCAAGGAACCTATGTGAGTCAAATGGTCAAGTCACCGATTGGCCCAAGTTCCATCTGGACTAACGCGTGCCTGACGAAAATACGTTTCACCAATTCGTGTATACGACAGTGGATGAATCGATGGATCACCAGAGAATTTATGCAGTCATTTACTTTCAAGCTGGACTACTGTATGTGGCGTTCGTTGCTAGGTAGTGCCTAACTTTGTGAATTTCGAATAGAAATTGTACCGCTAAAAAGCAGAGCTTAAATTAAGCCTTCCGAAAGACAAAACTAATCATTTACACATTTTATCCGCAGGCAATATCATATTCTGTAGTCCATCATGAACATCAGAGGCTAGCATTGAAATGAGACCCGCCAATTGTACATACTGAAAAGTCCCAAATCTCGGGCCACGATCGACAGTATCGGACAGGGATGAACCGATAAAAGCAATAATTCTATAAACCTGTCTACAACAAATTCAAAAATAATTAAAAGCATCGCGTATCACGTGATTCTCAAAATGGCTGAAATACAGACCAATCAAGATCTCTTTGTGTCAGGTGGAGTTGGTTTCTTGTTTTCAGAGGTATTTATTCTGTATAATTCTGTCGTTATGATATCGCATAGATCGATAGTTGAATGATTCCAATAACTCAGCAATCACTTGCAACGTTTTACTTTCCGGAAATAATTTATACATTCGTACTATTTTAGTTGGACATTCAAAATCTTCAACCTATCGCGTAGAATCTTTTCTGAATGTTTAAACTCATTTCGTGGTTTGTTTTCACATGTTTTTCTTCAATTTGTGGTGACTTTACTGCTACTCAGGTACTCAAAAATGGAAAGATTTTTCACGTATTGGACACCAGGGTGTGCTTGCAAATACGAACGAAATTCAAATAATAGATGCAGATTACTTTCGTAATGCTATAGTCCATTTATCATTTCACGGCATACAAACAACAATCGAGAGAAAGGAAAAACCCGTGTCAATGCCTCAGCTGCCAGTCTACACAACAAACTACGCTTTTACATCAATAGCCAACTTGCAAAGTAGCATCGGCCACAGTTGCAATGGTCAAGACATTTAGTGAACTATGAAAGTGTAAAGATAAAAATGAAAAATTGGAAATTTTTTCACTGCAAGGTCACTCGAAGATGAGGTCATGATCATGTTCCAGTTTGATTCTTGTGGTAAATCTGTGGACAGCAAACCGACTGACTAATTTGTCCCTCCATTCAACCATGTTTGCAGCGAACAATCCACTCTATCTTTTTGTCTCCAGTACTCTCCTTGGGTGCTGGTGCATCATGAAACTCACAACCCATATTCTGTTCCCATCAGGCATACTATTTTGATATTTTATAAAAGTGCTGATATTATGAGACACCACCGTGGCTGCAGTCACCAATAAACAACTATTCTCTAACAAATCACTAAATTCACATTTCGTTCATTTCCGCCTTCGCCTTCGTTGTATTTCTGGTTCTACTACTTAGTTATTTGCTTTGAGCTAATATTGCTCCGGGATTAACCAGCGGTGGGCTACTGTTTTGCAGATCGAACCCCATCGGTCTGATTGTTATGAGAGAATTAATTGGCTAACAATTGTTACTCGCTGAAGGCACATAAATCATGCATTGTGAAAACACTTCTTTTTTCTAGACTAAGCGAAGCTCCACACGGACTGGTTACACTACGATCACTGAGTGAATTTCTCGAATAACAGAAAAACCTGACGTGTTTTTCCTTGACGATAAACAACGTACATTGTAGAATCCACTTTGATTTCCATAAACAAAACTGCGGTCCCCATTATCCTTCATTCATTGTGCAATGCCTTTGTGGAGAACCAGTTTCATTGTAATTTCAGTATTTAACCACAACGGACCATTCCCTAGGGCTTGGGACAGTTCAGTGGGTAGTTTCAGCTGGGCATTCCACAGTTTGTCAATAGTTTTTAATTGCCTTGATTTTTTCCAGCAGAGTGAGGAGAATAATTTATGCATAAAATATTGTGAGCTTCAGTTTAGCAGGATCTTAACCAGCTGTCGATGTACTCGCGATCATTTGATTCATATTGAATTCGAAATTCAGGAAAATTCAAGAGTGGCGGTTACAAATTATTCTGAAATATCATAAATGTGTGCAAAATCGGTGAGCTGTGTAATATTTTGTAAAGAACTTGTAGGTTGTGTCAGCCAGAGAACCGGGGAGGAGATAGTAGAAAATCTGACAGTTACCATGGCTTGATTTCAGAAACCGTACCCTAGCGAACACAGATCTGCCTTCTCGGTACTTTTCCTCAGGCCAACGCAGTACACCTGAAAAGTTTTAGTCATCAATCGCGTTCAAAACTAAACCAAATTTACGACTGAAGATCGTAGGAAAGCCGCCTGATAATTCTACCTCATCCTGTGCATATCCACACTCTTGCATCTGTGGAGCAAAGTGCATCGAAAGAAGAGTCAGATGCCCGTCCACTAGAGTTCAAGAATGCTTCTCTACGTGCTTAGTCGGAAGAGTCAGTAAGACGTTAACCAGCGCAATACTGATGCATGCAATCGCGACGGGCCTTAAGGCAAGGCGGGATGGGCCATTTCACGTAATCTACCGTTTGGTAGTAAACCGTTCTAAAGGAGTCATACAAGGAATCCTCCAGACGACCAAGGCGATCTTAATCAGGTTACATAGACCAATCCTTTGCTCGTAAAAACAATTGAGGAAAACATTACAGCTCCCGTAACCAAAGTTCAACGTGACGGTGTGGTAAATGTGCCTACACAAATGCAATGGAAACAGATTGAGTATTCACTTTTGTGGTTTTATCGTGGTACTCTGGATTATATTTTCGAGCACCCGTTGAACTTCGCATGTGTACTGTAATGGCTTGAGGTGAAGCGTTGAAAGAACGAGTCCTTGTTTACCGTATTACGTTTTTAAAATTCTGACTAAACGAATATTTCACGAGGTGCGGTAGTACTAAATGTTGTTGTGTATCAACACATTAATTTGTTCGGCGTTAGTGCGTGGTTAAAGTTTCGCTAATGCTACGAACTCTAATCTCGGGATCACACAACGACATGTAGCGTTCGGACGTGAACAGCGTGAATGAAAGTGTGCAGCAGGATATGTGTGATGAAATTCCCGGTCGAATTGGTTTAATGTAACCCAAGCTACGTAAAATTCCTCAGTGGACTCTTTAAAAAGAATCATAGAAACATCAAGTATTCTTCTATCTCTATGCGTTTTTAGTAAATAGAGCTCTTAATGTACAGTTTTTTTGGCAAGTTCAATGATTAATGCCACTGTAAATCCATTGTCGGAATGAGATGCTCTTGGTTTCTGTTAGGTCTCGGTCAGTAGTTTCGATGTCCTCGGCGTATGTAAGAATGTAATCTTTGTCTTTTTCGATCTATGCATCAATGAAAAAGGTCGACACATCTAAGGATGAAATAAATTGATGTTTGCACACAGAACAACTATAAAACGAATAGATAGAAGCGGTAAGGCTTGGGCGAGGACGGGATGAAGGCATGAAAATCTGCCTTAGAACTCTTCCAAATGGAGAAATGAAACCCAATACAGTGCACGTTTACAGCTCCGGTAGGTTTTACAGTTTTCGAAAGTTTTAAAATCATCGATTAAATTAGTTGTGACTTATGTTGACAAATGACTGGCCACCGCACTAGAAGAAAACGTGCCCCCTCAAGAACCAGTCATTTTCGGTGTCCGTGGATTTACTCTCTCAGTAAACAAAGGCTTTAACTTTTTTAAGTAATTCGAACAACAGTAAAGCCGGTATTCAACTGAATATGGCAACAATTTTGGTCTAGTTGAAATCGGTAACACTTATTCAGCGTACCTCCTTCAAACTGATGCTGAAGAAGGTGCTTCTGATGGCGCTAATGATTGGGCGGCCACCTCTAGTGAGCGGTTTGTCACCTTTGAACACTATATGTGTAAAAGTGTCCCCCTCTTTACTAGCACTTATTATATTGTACTTGTTATTGCTGATATCTCGTTGCTGTCCCTTACAGCATTCTGCAAATGGGGCAATCCGCTCAGCACACCGATATCGTCGGCCTTTACAGTGAGTCATGAAACAGAGATTTTGATAGGGGAACCTTTACGTCACGAAACTTCACATGCAGTATCTCGCTTGTGTACTTTATTCACAATCTTCTAAACCGAGAAATGTGATAACGAGACGGGTGACAAAAAAGGCACGGAGGTTATTGCAAAAGTCAATTTTCGTTGTCATCTCGTGTTGATCTGTCCAGCCCTTCATATTTTTCTCTTTTCCGAGATAGTCTGCAACTCCCTTACCGTCAAATCGCTTGATCCGCAAGTGTGAAGTGTCTAAAAACGTTTAGCTTTCAAGAGCCTCGCACTAGTCAAGTAAGAAGTATTTATAACTGGATGTCTTAGTTTCACCAATACACCCACAGGG